CTGGTATTTAAGTCTTGCAAATAACAAGAATCACATAAGAACACTACTACACAACAAAAATCTCTGACTAACTGATGTACAGATAATATATTCATGGTCAACTTTGACGCATGAAAAATAGAATGTAATGTAAGGTCATCTGGAAGGCGAACTGTAACCCTACTAATAATAGGAGCATGTGTCCCACCTACTAACTAAACCTATGTGTGTAATGGCTATCAAAAGTAGTGAAGTGATGAGCCTCACTTGTCATCTGACCATTCGCACCTAAGTCTAGCATTCAAAAAGGAAAAAGACCGGTGTGAGCATAGAAGGCACGAGGAATACTTGTAGTAATTACAGCAGTAGTAGTAGGACCCTAAGAAGTCATAGCAGACATAAGCATATCTAATCTAGAACTGATAACATCCATATTGCTCTGCCAATGAGGAGCAGTGGTAGTAGGGGCAGTAGTAGTAGTTGATGGTCCATTAGCAATAGTAGTAGTATAGCCTCAAGGAACAAGATAAGGCGGCTTAAACTCTAGATGGAGCTTCTAGCAAGCAGTCTTGAAATGCCCTGGTAGGCCACAATTAATCACACTAGCGAGAATCGTCCTGTCTGCACTGGTCTAGACACTGTCCATCCCTAACGGGCAACCCTGCGAAATCCTACAGTAGTTGCAAGGGCCATCTAGTCAGCCTAAGGAATCAAGGTCACAACTAGAAGTGATGCAATACAGATACGATGCTCATCTGCTCAATTATAGAATAATCCTTATAAAGAGAAGGAGGCCTCAACATCAACAATATTTGGGAACGAGTTCCCTCAAACTTATCATGAAACCCCATAAGGAACTTGTGGATCCTATCCTCCTGTTCTCGAGTATGCAGAAATGTCATTCCCTCAAGCTCTATCCTCGGAATAGCAACAAGGGGACGTAGAGTCTCATACTCAAGCCAGCATTGAGTCAAATAGTCATAGTAGTCTTGAAAAGTCATATCTCCTTATTGAGCATATGAAAACTGTGAATACACATCTAATAATGCACTCTATAGCTTCGAAATAGAGTTATGAAACTGATGAATCCTACAAACAGATGACTCCATAGATCCAAATAACCATCCAAGAATATCACAATTCTTAGAGAACCACGCAAAATATCTTGGGTCATTATTAGTTGGCTTTGAATGCAATCCAGCCAGCCAACCTAACTTCCCAACAAGCCCAAAAAAGAGCTAAAATAAGCGTAACCAGTCAGCAAAGTTACGGTCATCCAATAACTGTGTCATAATCTTCTAAGAGATCATACCCAGCATCACCAGTAATGCAACTGTGTTAGTAGGTACTTTATCTTGGTTAAACATAAAGGTAAAAAGGGTAATCCCTATAGAAGTGGTTGGTACCTTCCCAGTTGAAGTACCAATGGTAGAGCTCTCAAGTCCCTCAACAGTGGCTATAGTAATAATAATAATGTGGCAACCGTGATAGAAATTACTCTAAAATTAATAGATTGAAACAAGTGAGAACAATATACCTGTAGTTGAATAATAGCGACAAATAAGAGGTCTAGAAAGGTCCCAAATAACATGTCACGGCACAAAAAATCCAGAAAAATATATAAATGATATACTGCATCAAAAGTAGATCAACGGAGGGAATCCAGCCCCTCTAAAAGTCCCTAGGGTGCTCTGACCCTAGGGAAAAGAAAAACCAGTAGTTGTAGGCTGCGAAAAAAGGTCGCGAATTGGTGGTGCTGGCGGGAAAGGGTGTGCGAGGTGGCGGGCAGCAGCGAGAAGGCTAGGGATTTGTAGCTTGGGTTAAGGTTAAAGCTAGGGTAGGCTAGGCTTTTGGCTGGCTCTAATACCAACTAGAATTATTGGGAGTAACAAAGATACACAAATTGAGTGCATAGCCATGTATATATAGCTAAATAAGAGTGCAACTGATCAAAACAACCTTGTGGTCTGGGTAAGACGTAAAAATCATAGCAAAGGCGAAATAGGTTAAAAAAAACTAAAAAAAAATCCTAATAACTAGGCTATAACTCCAACGCTCACAAAAAGGGTGCCTGTAGGCACAGAAAAACTAGATAAGATGTTGAGTGTTAGGAAACATATGGGTGACAAGAGATGCTTTTAGGCTACACAGATAATGTGTCCACACCCTCATCTTCTAAAATTGTGTTTATCAAAGAAAAAGACACACCTACTACAAAACTAGAACATGTTCCACCGCAACTGTCAAAAGGTAAATGAGACTCGGTATGAAGTCATAATCCCAAGAAGCTTGAGTTTCAATCTTTTATTTCCAATAAGGTTCTAGTTTGTGACATTTGTTGTAGACACGATCAAACTAGCACTCAGGGCACTTACATTCTAGATAATCTTGATAGAAAGCTGGTACACCTAGCTTATCAATCCAAAGCCTTGAGTAGTTAAGTTCATGACCTCAGTTGGCTTATAGGATTGGATGGAGGTTCTAAGGTTCCACCAAGGAAGAGATTTCATGAACCTAAGGTAAGTAATCCTTTTGAATCTAGGAAGCAATTCAAGAAAAGTAAAAGGAGTAAAAAGAAGTTAAATAACCTCTTAACTCAACCCTTATATGAACTGGCCAATATGCAATGATTCCATTTAAAGTCAAGGTCATTTGTGTAAGGAAGCAAGACTTAATAGATGCATCCAGCATACAACACCTAAGGAGACCCACAAGTGCATGTTCCATCACTTGAGTGAGTGTGCATTTATAGACTTGACCCTAAGAGCATACCTAACATATCATGCATTAGGGACTAAGTAATTGGTAGCTTAAAATTTTCTTTGTTTTTATGAATTAAAGCATGCATTATTTTTGCTTGTTGTCAAAAATATGAAAAAAGAGCAAAAAGATTTTCCTTTGTTAGTTTTTGTAGTTAATCATGGTGATCACATTTTGATTCGAAGTTTACATTATTCATCATCAAATCAAAGTTGAGTGCATTACTCATTCAAAGTTTAACTTGATCATGATCAAATCAAAGTTGAGTGCATTACTATGAGTCATACTATAGGATAGAGCACATAATACTTATAAGTCTTAAAGCAAGATCTAAAAACTAAGTCTCTTCCACCCTTGCATGCTTGGATAGTATTAATTTTTGTGAAATTCATAAAACCTTTTGTACCCTTAGTCAATGGCCTCCATTGATTAAAAGACTTAATAGCTTGAGATTGTTAATGACCTTACATGACTCTTAAGTGTTGGTAATAAGTGAACACATAAATATGGTTAGTAAAACCCCATATCCCTTAAAAAGATACCAAAATAGTCAAATGTGAAAAAAGAGTCCAATGCGACCAACTACAAATGTAAGGCATAAAAAGATGACTAAAGTCAATAACACTTGAATTGCTGAGAGTACTATGTGATAATTGTAAATGCTCATATGTGTAAAGCCCAAAAAGCTAGGCTACAATGTCAAAGAAGCTAAAGACGTAAAGTACGAAATTCACAATCGTGCTTATTAAGGTCATAATTGTTAGAGCATCTAACCCAAAACCAATTGTCAATTGGTGGAGTGACCCTTTAAGGATATATAAATCAACCTTGTTGGCCCTAATTATTCAATATGGAATACAAGCTCTCTTAACACCCTTCCTCAAGTGGGACCCGAGCTCGCACATGGGGTCAACAGGCAAACAACTATGCATATCAAAAAATTCAAATGGGTAAGAAACTTGACCTATTGCCCACCCAAGGCCCAACTCTAATACCATATTAGAGCACCCAATCCAAAACCAATTGGTAATGGGTGGAGTGGCCCCTCAAATATATAAACCAACCATGGTAGTCCTAACTATTCAATGCGGGATATAAACTCTCTTAACAATAATGAGTAGAAGGAATGAAACAAATATGGAGAGTGTCGAAAAATAGTATGAAAAGAACAATCAAATTACGACTCTCACTAGCCGATTAGGCTTTTACTTAGACGATGCATTAGAAATTTATGTAGGGCTAATTCAATGTTTTAATCTAGATAGATTCTTAATTGTGCTGGAGTTTAGTTTCACATACTTAACTCATGGGTTGATCAAAGAAAGAAAAAATTAGAAAACATGTGAGTGACCGTAGAAATTGAACTAAGTTTTTCAAAATTGCTCTAATGCTACATAAGTGTGTAGTTCTATATCTATATAATAAAACAAGAGTGTGTTTGAATTTTATCCCAGTCATATTTTTTCCCTCAAAACCATCATCAATCACTTACCTCACTCATCATTCTTTTGTCAGACTCAAACGTCAAATCACATCACTCATTTCTATCACATATTTAATTATTTATATATTTCCTCCCTAAAAATATCACACTACTCATTTCTATCATATATTTAATCATTTAATATTTAATTAATTTGTAGTTAATATATTTTAAAAAAAATTAATATAGTGAGATCGATTTTTTGGATGTTCGAATTTTATATTTTAACGTGGCTTCAGGCACGGGTTATGACTAGTTTATTAATATGACATAGACTAATCTATGAGATGATGAAATGAGGATGGATAAGTTAATTGATGAATTAGTGTGATTTTCATAATTATGACTTTTGTGCATTTCAACTTTGAAAATTAAATGCATTATATTTAGATCCAAATTTCATCCATGCATGTTTTTACTCATGTACATACATCATGCATGCATTTGAGGGCTCACTAAGTCGAGTGGAGAGAGGAGGAAAATTCATAGTGATCCAAAGGACGATTGAAACTAAACAATTAGTTGTACCACAAAACTTCAGGGACCGCTAGAGTGGCCTTCGTTAAGAGTCGGGCCGAGGGTTTTCTAATCGGATTTTGACAATCTCTCTTCATTCCCAACTCTTCTAAACTCGAGTCAAACCTCTCAAAACTCTTTGCCATCACCAACTCACTCTTTCGATCATCATCAACAATGAATTGTATATCGATTTGAACTTAAATATTTGATATACACTTAGTTTAAGACATATTCACCGATTGAATTTAGGGATGACACCAACAGTTGAGAAAAAGGCTAGGATTGAGTTGTTCAATGAGAGCAATCGATTTTAGACTCCCCACAATGACCAGAGTTTAAGGGATGAGAAAGCTTTGAGCCGGTCATAATGGAGCGAGGCGTCGACTTCACATGGGTAAGAAATTCTTCTACCCCTTCGCATTTCGGTAATCAGGGATGGACTGGTCCTTTCGCTGCCCCAGAACATGCAAATAAGGACATGATTAGAGAGTTCTAAGCTCACATTAGAGACACGGATCCCAATGTTGAGCACATTGTCATAAACATTCGTGGGATTCAATTGAGTTCTCAATCGATCTCATTGCTACCACTCTCAACATTCCTAAGGTTGAGAACGATGTTTTTGGGAGTAAGTCAATTGATAATTTGCCTCGTGTTTCCGATGTTGCATCCGATTTGTATGGAGTTCCTACCAAAATCATTTCTTTCCCGAAAAATGCAACCGGTAAGTCTCCCAATTTTCTCAGCTACAAAACTCTATTCTGTAATTATCATTTCGAAGAGATTATATTATGGTGCGTATACAAATGCATTCTATAAGATATCTGTGTGTGTATGTGCAATTTGACTACAAATTTCACTGTTTGGTGGTTGTAAATTTGGAGTTTCAGTTGTTAATTGCTTCCGAAGAATCCCATTTTCTTCTTCGAATCTTCAACGGTAGCATCCAAACCCTAGACTCCATCAAAGACCGTATCAGTCAGATCTTTAACGACATTTTCTGCAGTAAACCCAACAGAGATTTAGTCGATAGAAGGTAACTGACTGCTTCCAACTCGCATATATGCACATATATGTGAAGTCATAGCCCAGTGTAGTCCGTATAACTTGATGGAAGGTGTTTCTGTAGCAGTGAACCGAATACATAACGACTTTTGGTATTATCCACTGCACCTAACAATTGTCCTGTTTTGGCACTACTATTTTGCCACTTCAGCAACAACTAATCCATATAAGCATGTCTATGTGAACTTAACTCACCTTTACAGAGCCTCATCCGAAAAAATGGGTTGGGGTTCATTACATGAATATGTTCTGCTACTTTCTGTCCAACCATAAGCTATAATAGCATGCTTTACCAAATCTGACAATGTTAATAGTTGAGCTTGCATTATTGGATGTGTGGTTTATATTTTGTAGGGGGAGTGAGATATTTCCAAATGCCATTAAGGATATGATTGCTGCAAATGTTGGTGATGGATATGAGCTCAGAAGAGCAGAGTGGTGGTCACAAAAGAAGGATTGTGATGATGAAGGAGATGGTTCGAGTGCGGTTTTTAATGCTTTGGATGAAATGTTGAAGGGTAGTTTGAACCGCTTGAAATCAATGAGGTAAGCTTAAATCTCTTAGATAATATTAAAGGGATGTGGTGATTGGAAAATTTTTGCTAAATTTTTGTCATGAAAGGTACTAAATGACTGTGGCTTATGGCAATGATTTGTTTATTTTTTGTTCTTAAGCACAATAGATTTGGGAATTGGGCGCTTTATATTGCATTTTTTCCTTGCAATTTTTCCAAGTTAATTAATAGTTATCTATGTAGTTCTTCATTTACATTGAAGTTGAATGGAAGTTGTTTGGTGTATACTTGTAATGTCTCGATTACATTGAATTGCTATTTCACGTATTAGAAAAGTAGGTGCCCGAGTCCCAAAGGGCACACTCAAGTACAGGTGATCAAGAAGTAGTAAATACTTGGTAAGTCCGACGTTGAACCGTATGAATTCAAGAGAATTTAGGAATAAGATAATGGAAAAACAAAGATTTCTGGAAAAGTTGAGTTGGTTGAAGATTAATTGTAAAGTAAAATTTAAAAGAAATAATCTACTGGGAAAATGACTCTTTAACTTCGGTATTTGGATCTGTTCATGTTTATTAGAAAATGATATTCATGCAATTCATAATTATTTTAGTTGATTTTCAAATTAATGTAATTAATTGGAAAATATAGCTTTGGAACACAATTAATTTGATTGATATGAAAATAAAAATTAAACAATTAGTTTCATAAAACTCGCAGGGAATCATAAACATTGAATATACCAAAAACTCAATCTTGTTTATAAACAATCAAACAATTATACATATCATAAAAATTTGCTAAAACATTTAATTAATATTGAAAAAATAAAGATTTAACATTAAATTCAAGAAAATAATTGGATAAAATAAATATCTGAATAAACAATCACAAATCCATGACCCTAGGCTAAAAATACAAAGGGAACTACTCACTGTCCATGGGTAGATCTGAGAAAAAATAAAGAAAGGTGTAGAAAATTGGATCTAGAATTGTTCCTCACTCAAAAGAAAGAGGCTATATTTATACTAGGGAGGTTAGGGTTGACCTTGGAACTCATCCTTGCAAAAAAAAGTACATTTAGGTCAAAACTCGTGCATTATATTCCGGAAGTGCGTCCTGGCGCACGCATCGTCTTTGTCCAAATTTCGAGTTCATTTTTGACATAGTTAAAAGTCAATTCATGAAATAAACTTTTGTAACTTTTGAAGTTTTCTTTCCAATGTTGCAAAATCAAGTCAATCAGATCGGAGTCAAAAGTTGTAACTAAAATATTGAAGACATATCAAAACATTATCTTCTAGAATTCTTTTCTAATCCAATTCTAAAGAAATTTCTTACTAATTTGGACTCCCACAAGGCTTAAATTGCTGCCTTATCTTCAAATCTTCATTTTTTAATCTTGATCCTTTAATCCTTATCAAATATCCCGTTCTCAACTGTGATGCTACCTCTAGTGTTTGCTTCTTTTGCCTTGTCCATTATTACTTTAAATCAACCAAATTATGTACAAAATAAATCAAACTACTAGAACAATTTTCTGGCTTGATACTTATTCTAGTAGACCTTCATTAACCAGGAAAAGTACTATTTTCTTATATTTAATGATTAGTTACTGAGAATTTAATATGATTATATGTGTATTGTGATAGGAAATCATGTGCTTTTACTATTCGTTCAGACCGACCCCCGAAAGAAAAGGAATCTTTATACTGATTTCTGTAAAGTTTAGAGCATAGACATTTCTAGCCTGAAATCTTTTTGTGATTCAATTCTGTGAACTTTTCAGGGAAAGTGTGTCATGGACACGATTAAGGATTAGTAGCTGCACTTTGGAAGTAGATTGCACTCACAAAGTAGCCACTATGCGGGCTTTGTGTTTGGAAGGTAAGTTGGGAGTAGCTCTGTGGTTTTGGACCAAAATGGTACAACAAGGTGTTATTCCTGATGTTCTTACTCACAATTTCCTTATAAATGGACTTTGTAAAATCGGTGACTTGGAGAAGGCTGAGTGGGTTGTTGGAGAGATGTTATACAGGGGTCCCTCTCCAAATTGTGCCACCTACAACACATTAATGAGGGGTTATTGCCTTACCAACAACGTGGACAAGGCTCTTGATCTTTTATCTTCCATGGCTAATTCTCGTGTTACACCAAATAGAGTTACATGTAACATTCTTGTACATGCACTTTGTAATCAAGGTCTATTAGAGGATGCTAGAAAGCTTCTTGGGGAAATATTAGGTGATAGTTGTGACAAGCATACCACGAATTTGATCACCTCGACTATACTCATGGATGGTTATTTTAAGCACGAAAATGTGGCCCAGGGTCTCATTCTTTGGGATGAGATGCTCCAAAGGGGTACCCAAATGGATGTTGTCGCATATAATGTTATTATTCATGGATTTTGTTTGAGCCGAGACGTGAACACTGCATACAAGTACTCTTGTGAAATGTTTAAAGGTGGTTTACTTCCTGATGCGTTCACTTACAATACTCTTATCAGTGTGCTTTGTAAGGAAGGAAGGACTGACGAGGCTTGCTATATCCATAGTGTTATGTCAAGAATGGGTGTTTCTCCTGATGAAATATCATTCAAAATGATTATCCATGGCCTGTGTATTAACGGAGATGTTGTTAAAGCTAATGAGTTTCTTGTTAGAATGTTAGAGAATTTGGTTATACCTGAGCCTCTCATTTGGAATGTTATAATTGATGGCTATGCAAGATGTGGAGATATACAAAAAGCTTTATCCATTAGAGATCAGATGGTTGCATTTGGCGTTTTGCCCAACATATTTACTTATAATTCATTGATTCATGCACAAATAAGAAGTGGAAATGTTGTGGAAGCTCATTCTCTAAAGAAAGACATGCTCTTAAATGGCCCTTTTCCTGATTTGGTCACTTATAATCTATTGGTAGGTGCTGCTTGTAATCTTGGCCACATTCATTCAGCTCTCCAGTTACATGATGAAATGTTGAGGAGAGGGTATGATCCGGATATTATTACTTACACTGAGCTGCTTAAATGTTATTGTGTAAGAGGTAAAATGAAGGAGGCTGAAGAGCTCTTTGTCAAGGTACAGAGATCTGGTATACCTATTGATCATGTTCCATTTCTAATACTCATGAAAAAGTACTGCAAGACAAGAAAGCTTGATAGTGCATTTGATCTTTATCAAAAATGGTTAACAAGGGACAAATGAGTTGTTTCATGACCGACCTTTCAGAGGCACTGAATTACACTGTTTCTGAATGAGACCCAGAATGACTTCTGCATTACATTTATGCATCTAAATCTCAGAGTGTCCTACGGCGGAAGCTTTCTGCTTCTTGCTGCTGTGGCCTGCATGTGCAGCTTCTGGAGGTATGCTTTCTAATGTTTACTAATTGATTATTTATGTTTTTTCTACCATTTCATACTAATGCTTTTTCCTTTCCTTTTTATTTTTCTTTTTCTTTTCCTTTTCCTTCTGAATATGTCGTGTAATAGTTCTACATGAAACAAAAGGTTTGGATTTAAATAATTTTTAGCTTCTAGGCTAACTCCTTTTTTTTTTCTCATAAATTTGGTATTCAACTTATTATAGCTCAGCCAGCTTATACTTTTCCTATGAAAAGTATATGAATATGTTTATTTATGATGGTTCTTTGGCATTAGCCGTCAGTCTTCTCTTCCCTGTACATTCTATGGGTACAAGGTCTAGATGAAAAGTCTGGATTAGAGACACTTGTTAAAAAACTTCAAATCATTCTGTGCAAAGTCAATTGTTTCTTGCGTGAACAAGTAGAAATATATAGATGATCCAAATTAAGCTACAGTACATTATGAAGGAAGGTGTAAGTAGATAAAGATAAGTATTACTAAACAGCCAAGTATGAATATAGCAGAATTAAGGTTTCGAGCAGAGAACTCCTTAGGATTCTAATGAAAGACTTATTATCCTCTGTTTTTTTAATAAGAAACATAACTTTCACTAAATTAGTAAAAGGTTATGGGAAAGTGGGCAAGAAGACCACCCAAAAATCATTTTTAAGGGAGAAGAATGACACAACCTCAAATGCTTTGGATACAACTGCCCAAAGGGAAAGCCAAGAAGTTTACCTTCTCCCCACTTTTCTTTCTCATTGGAAATTCTCTATTTCTGTCCATCCATAGTACCCAAAATAATTGCCATAAACAGGCATTCCCATTGTATGAAGCTCTACATCCCTTCCCCAAAACGTGGTTAATCTTATTAACTTTGATTAAAAGAAGGAGAAAAGAGAGAATGAACATAGCAAATACTCTTAGTCTGTGTTACAACAATTAATCAGAATACACAATAAAGGCCTTGTATACAGTAGGGCAACCCAAATAAAATAAGTGACTAAAATCAACACTAAATATACACTTACACCCC